TATGAGACTTCATCTGCATAATAAGAACCTTGGTCTCACAACTCCTTATCTTAACCCAGACACTCCTCTCCATTGACTCCAGGACTTTAGATAATAACTTAATTCTTCTAACAAACTGCCAATCAGAAAATCTTTGAATCCAGCTATGACCTGTAAGCCCCCACTTAAGAGTTGGCCTGCCATTCTGGGCCAGGCCAATGTATACCCCACATGCATTAACTAATGTCTTATGTCTCCATAAACATATGAAACCAAGCTATAACTCAATCACTGTGGACACATGTTCTCAGAATCGCCTGTGGCTGTGTCATAAGACATGGTCCTCACGTAGGGCTCAGAATAAATTTCCTTAAATACTTTACAGTTTGACTTTTTTCCTCAACAGCAGTCAAAGAGTGTCTAAGTATAGAGTGTTTAAGTGTTTTACAGCTGCCCTGGGGCAGCTCTGCACTTCTCTCTGGGAAGACCTGGAAGTTTGCACTGACCCCTGACCAAGATAAGGATAGGTGAGCTAACTGGTAATGTGTATGCTGCATAAAGTTCACAATTTGCCTGGCAGCACCTGGGCCAGGTTATTAACCAGATGGTTTGCACCTGGCAAAACCGGTTAGCCAGACTGGCTTGGCTGTGTGACAAAAGGGTGTGAATCCAAAAGTATCTGAGACAGGTCTTAATCAATTTAGAAAGTTTATTTTGCCAAGGTTAAGGACATGCTCATGACACAGCCTCAGGAGGTCCTGATGACATGTGCCCAAGGTGGTCGGGGTACAGTTTGGTTTTACATTTTAGAGAGACATGAGACATGAATCAATATGTGTAAGATGTACATTGGTTTACCATCAAAGCGAGGGCTTCCAGGTCTCAGGTGAGCAGAGGGATGACCTTGAGTTCCTGCAACTGCGAAGATAAGCTACTAATTTACATTGCCAGGGTGAAATTCAACACAACTGTTTTAGGCCAAAGATCATGAGGCCCACAGAAAATTTCCTCATGGGCCAATTGTGAGAGGGGCATGTAGCTTTATCTTTGTATCTATCTTATTTAGGAATAAAATGGGAGGCAGTTTTGCCTGACGCAGTTCTCAGCTTGACTTTTGCCTTTGCCTTAGTGATTTTGGACTCCCGAGATTTATTTTCCTTTCACAAGGGCATGAGAGACTTGGCTGGAAACTTTTGGAACTCTCCTGAAACCAAGATTCCTCCTACCACTGGTGAGGCTTCCCAGTCCAGAGAAGGCATGTGTTCTCTGTAAATCAGAAAGGGCCCTGGGAGCTCACCTGGAGGGCTCTGCCCAATTCTCATCACCCTCTTTCCCTGCTGGGCCAGCTCCAGAGCCTTCAGAGCAAGCCACATGTGATTGCACTCTGTGCAGTCTTATGAGTCCTCTCCTATATTTTTTAAGAGACTTTATTTTTAAAGCAGTTTGGTTTTGAGGAAGGAGACCCCTTCCTCCCTCTTAAGCTTCTAAGACCACTTCCCTTTAGCCTTCTACATTACATTTCAAAAGGAGAAGTAAACGTTGAAAATAGAAGCACAAGGTCAGTGGAGGAGACAGAACTGGTGCCACTCGCCGGACCTGGAGGTTAACGATCAAACCTCCAACCTATTCCTATCCTATCTATAGATCGCAGGCATGGTATGGAGGAATCTTCCCTGGAAGGCACTGTTCTTGCTTAACTGTGATTAGAACCCCACCTAAGTCACATACCCCTCGCTTACCTCATCAATCACAACCCTCTCACATGTACCCTCTATGACGGTGAGGCTTTAAAGGAGGCCAGAATTTTCTAGTTGGGGAGCTCAGTTCTTGAGACATGAGTCTGCCAAGACTCCCGGCTGAATAAAAAGCCCTTCCTTCACAAACCCGGTGTCCAGGAGGCTTTGTCTGTAGCGTGTCCTGCTACATGTCCTGGTTCCCTGACCAGGAAATGATTGCAGTTGGCGGACAACCGAGACAACCTCTTAGGCAGTTTGCCTTGCCTTGCGGAGCATCCTGGTGGGGGACTCTGGCCTGCTTGGGCAACGCGGGTCCTGAGAGCACTCCCAGGTAGGCATTAGCCCCAGAGGAATGCTTTGTCAGAGCAGGGCAAGGCAGGCCCTCGCGGAGGATCCACGCAGAGGCTGAACACCAGGAAGGAGCTGGCACTGGCAGTCCAGACGACAGAAACACGGACTGGTCCTACCTTGCCCACCTTCTTTAGGTGGAAGCATGGTCTGATCACCCACAAGTGCAGAATTTGGCACTCCTGAACTCGGCTCTCTCTCTCTCTCTGTAACTAACCTTGGAAGTCTTGCTTTCAGTTTCAATTTGGGTGGTGGGAGGTGTATGACTGTGTGAGTGATTGGAGGGGTCCAACTGGACTCACTAGCTGTGAAATGTGGGAGTGGCAGGTCCATTAGAGGGGACTGTAAGGTCTGAACAAATTGTGGGGCCAACTGGGATTAGGGGCAATCCATATAGGGTTAGAAGGCTAGAAGGAGGTGCCCTCACAATCCAGGTATCGTCAGGGGGAATAACGAACTCTCCAATGCCAGCTGAACTCTTCAAGCAGTGCCTGAAACACTCCCAAGAGGGAGGCTGTCCTACCGGCCTGAAGTGAAAATGAGAGAGTGTCATGCCGTGCAGGGCGGAAGAAACTGAGGGTGGAGTAAGACTCTCTTTACTGCCTGTGAGTACTGTTTTCTGTGCAAAAATCATGGGTCACACTCAGAGAAAGCCTAATCCTCTGGGGACCATGCTGAAAAATTTCAAGAAGGGATTTAGTGGGGATTATGGAGTAACTATGACACCAGAAAAGCTGAGGACCTTATGTGAGGTAGACTGGCCAGCATTTGGGGTGGATTGGCCCTCACAGGGAAGCCTAGACAGGTCTCTTGTCTCCAAAGTACGGCATAAGGTTACATGAAAGCCAGGACACCCTGGTCAATTTCCGTATATACAGTCATGGCTGCAGCTAGTTCTAAACCCTCCACAGTGGCTAACAGGACAGGCAGCAACCATACTGATGGCAAAGGGGCAGGCAGCTAGGGAAAAACCCCACTCTACCCACCAAAGGATGCAGACTCCTAAGATCCTGACATATTCAACAGCAGAAGAGCCTTTGCCAAAGATAGCTCCCCCTTATCAGGAGGAAGGAGTCCTTGCCCCTGGGCCTGAAACCTCAGCACCCTCGCTAGAATTGCACACTCCTAACCTACCCAGGGTAGACAAGAAAGAATGCGGAGGGACTCCTCCCATAGCCGCCAGCTTCCCAGGAGGAACTGCCCTTCTAACAGCCCATCTGTGACCCAATGCAGGGATGCAGATGCCTTTAAGAGAGCAGAGGTATATGGGAGTGGATGAGGATGGCCACATGGTGAAAAGACGTGTTTTCACGTACCTGCTGTTCACCTCAGCTGATCTTATCAACTGGAAAAATAACACCCCGTCTTATACCGAGAACCCACAAGCTCTCATTGACCTACTGCAAACTATCATCCAGACTCATAACCCCACTTGGGCTGACTGCCACCAGCTGCTATGTAACTTTTTTAACACTGATGAAAGGCAGAGGGTACTCTAAACCACTTCCAAATGGTTGGAGGAGCATGTTCCAGCAGACTACCAGAGTCCCCAAGAGAATGTCAGGGCCCAGCTACCAGCTGCCCAGTGGGATCCAAACACCCCAGAGGGCACGCAAAGGCTAATCTGGTACAGAGAGCCCTCACTGGAAGGATCGAAAAAGGGAGCCCAGAAAGCTACAAACATCAATAAAGTCTCCGAGGTTACTCAAGGGAAAGAGGAAAGGCTGGCAGTTTTATGAAAGGCTATGTGAAGCCTGTCTTTTATGTATACTCCTTTCAAACCTGAGAGCCCCGAAAACCAGCACATGGTAAATATGGCATTAGTCAGTCAGTGTGCAGAAGACATCAGAAGAAAGCTACAGAAGCAGGCAGGATTTGTGGGCATGAATACTTCACCGTTATTGGAAATAGCTAACCAGATATTTGTGAACAGAGACGCGGTAAGCCATAGAGAAAATCGTAGAGAAAAAGAGCATCAAGCCTGATGAAGCACCGACTTGACAGCTGCCGCTATTAGAGGAAGCACCCCCAAAAGGTTAGGGAAAGGGGGCTCCGGAAGGCTACCCAGTCTAATCGCCCACTCCTGCAGCATAACCAGCGTGCTTACTGTAAGGAAGTGGGGCACTGAAAGGACCAGTGCTCCCAGTTGACAGGAAAACAGGGAGATCTTAAGCCCGAGGCTTCAGACGAAAGTGAAGGAGCTCTGTTTAATCTAATGGAAGGGCCACTGGACTGAAGGGAACTGGGCTCAATTGCCCGCAAAGAGCCCATGGTCAGAATGACAGTGGGGGATATTAACTTCCTCATCAACACTGGTGCTGAATATTCAGTGGTAACCACCCCTGTAGCCCCCCATCAAAGGAAACAACCAATATCATTGAAGCTATTGGGGTGTCAGAAAAACAGTCTTTTTGTTTGCCGCGAACTTGTGAGGGGGGGTCATGAGGTAATGCACCAGTCCTTATATATACCTGATTGCCTTTTGCCCCTGCTAGGAAGGAATCTGCTCAGTAAGCTACGGGCAACCGTCACCTTCACTGAGAGTGACACTTCCAGTGCCCTGGGAGCCCCTGCTTTGAGTTGTCTTACCTTTCTCAGCTCACTGCAACCTCTGCCTCCTGGGTTCAAGTGATTCTCCTGCCTCAGCCTTCTGAGTAGCTGGGAACACAGGTGCATGCCACCATGCCCGACTAATTTTTTGTATTTTTAGTAGAGATGGGTTTTCACCATGTTAGCCAGGATGGTCTCGATTGCCTGACCTCGTGATCTGCTCACCTCGGCCTCCCAAAGTGCTGGGATTACAGGTATGAGCCACCACACCCGACCCTGTCCCACCTTCCTGAACCAAACCAATGTATTTCCTAAATGTGTTTGATTTATGTCTCATACCCTCCCAAAATACATAAAACCAAGCTGTACCCCAGCCTCCTTGAGCACATGTTCTGCCTCACAGCCTATGGTCACTCATATATGGCTAAGAATAAATATCTTCAAATATTTTACAGGGTTTGACTCTTTTTGTCAACAATACCTAGGTGTGAATTTTTTGGGATTGGTCCTGCCTGGTGTTCTGTGAGCTTCATGGATGGTGGTTTGGTGCCTGTCATTAATTTTGGAAAATTCTCAGCCATTATTACTTCAAATTTTTCTCTTTTTCTTTTCCTTCCAGTGTTTCTGTTGTCCACATGTATACCTTTAATAACTGTCTCACAGTTATTGGATATTCCATTCCATTTTTTTAAGTCTATGTTTTCTCTTTGTTTTGCAGTATGGGAAGTGTCTGTTGACATATCATCAAGTCACTGGTTCTTTTCTTGACCATGTTCAGTCTGACCATGGGTTCAAAAAATGCATACTTCATTTCTGTCACAGTGGGTTTTTTTTACTTCTGCCATTTCCTTTTTAAAAAAAAAAAAAAAAAAAAACTTTTATTTTAGATTCTGGGTGTACATGTGCAGGTTTCTTGCACGGGTATATTGCACTCAGATAGTGAGCATAGTAGTTACCGGGTGGTTTTTCAACCCATGCCCTCTCACTGCCTCCCCCTCTAGTGGTCATCAGTGTGTTGATTGTTCCATGTTTATGTCTGTGTGTGCTCAATGTTTAGTTCTCACTTATAAGTGAGAACATGCAGTATTTGGTTTTCTGTTCCTGTATTAATTTGCTAAGAATTAAGCAGTTTAGAAATTTCTCAAAGAACTTAAAACAGAGCTACCATTTGACCCAGCAATCCCATTTCTGGGCATATACCCAAAGAAAAATAGATCACTATACCAAAAAGACACATACATGCAAATGTTCATCAGCATTCTGTTCACAGTAGCAAATACATGGAATCAACCTAGGTACCCATCAGTGGTGGATTGGCTAAAGGAAATACATTACATGTACCTCGTGGAATACTATGCAACCATGAAAAAGAATGAAATCATACCTTTGCAGCAATATGGACAGAACTTTTTATTGTTTTTGTAGTTTCCACCTCTCTAATTAAATTACGCACCTGTCCTCCTGTTCCCCTCTGTTTTCCAGGAAAGCCTTAGCATGTTAATCATAGTTACTTAAAATCTTCATCTCCCCATCCCATAACTTCACCCTGTACTCTTTGCCCAATCAATCATTCCTACGCCTTGGCCCACTATTCTTCCAAACCCCTTAAAACCCCTAGCCTCAAAACTCCTTGGGGAGCTGGATTTGAGATGTCCTCCCACCTCCTCACTCAGCTGCCTTACAATTAAACCATTCCTCTGCTGCAACCCAGTGTTCAGTATATTGACCAGCCATGCACCCTGGAACAAAGTGGGAGCCAAAGTGGGAGGATCCCTTAAGCCCAGGAGTTCAAGACCATCCTGGACAACATAGCAAGACACCATCTTTATTTAAAAAAATTAAATTAACCTGTTACAGTTACATTTCTTCCCATTTCTGGCTTCAGCTGCAGCTTCTGCTCAAGGATAGCTTGTGATTCTTGCTATCTGCCAGTCTGTCCAGTTTGTGGGGTGGCCATTTCCCCTGTGACTCCCTGAAGGACCTAAGAAGAGTTGCCGATCTTGTTTGCCAGCTTTTTTCTTGCTGTGAAAATGGGAGTGACAACATCCATGCTTGTACATGCTGGATTCGAAACCAGATGCCCATCCTTTAAATTTTCTTTTTTTTTTAAATTTGTTTTATTTTTATTTTATTTTATTTTAATTGCATTTTAGGTTTTGGGGTACATGTGCAGAACATGCAAGATTGTTGCACAGGTACACACATGGCAGTGTGATTTGCTGCCTTCCTCCCCTTCACCTATATCTGGCATTTCTCCCCATGCTGTCTCTCCCCAACTCCCCACCCCTCATTGTCCCTCCCCTATTTCCCCCCCGACAGACCCCAGTGTGTGGTGTTCCCCTCCCTGTGTCCATGTGTTCTCATTGTTCAACACCCGCCTATGAGTGAGAACATGCGGTGTTTGATTTTCCGTTCTTGTGTCCGTGTGCTGAGAATGCCTTTCAATTTTCCATTCTGTGTAATCTCAACAAAAACAATATCTTGCTGCAAGCCTACCAATCCTTGAATATCTTTCCTGCTTGCCAACACCTCAGAAACAAGTGCCCAGAAATTTTTCCAAACTTGATTTTCCCTCTCCTTCCATGTATATGCTCAGATAGGAGACAAGCAGTTAGATGAAAGCTCAGCAATCAGGCCGTTCCCAGCCACAAGTCCTCCCCATTCCTGCTCAGTCACACACAAGAAAGGAATTCTTAGAGCTGGGCACAGTGGTTCACACCTGCAATCCCAGCACTTTGGGGGCCAAAGTGGGAGGATTCCTTAAGCCCAGGAGTTCAAGACCATCGTGGACAACATAGCAAGACACCATCACTATTTTAAAAAAAATAAATATTAAAGAAAGGGAAAAAGAGGAAGAAATGAATTCCTGAGACACTTAATAGTCACTTCTGTCATCCTGTGAGTTCTTTCTCAAAAGTCCAGTGTTTGAGAAAATTAGGCATAAATAGGTCCTACTTCAGCTGCCAACTGAAAGAAGTTAAATTTTCCTCTTTAGAATCAAAGCCCTGGAGACACCACGTGAGCATTTCTTTTTGTCGCATTGTAACCTCAGAGAAATTTGGCTTGGGATTTAGGGAGGAAATGAAAGAAATTATATACGTATAAACAATCCTTAGAAATACAGACATGGTAGCTGAGCATGATGGTACATACCTGTGGTCCCAACTACTTGGCAGGCTGAATTATTGTGGGAAGATTGCTTAAGCCCAGGAGGTGGAGGCTGGAGTGAGTTATAATCATGCCTGTGAATAGCCACTGCACTCCATCTAGGACAACATAGTGAGACCTTGTGTTTAAAAATAGGTATGATATAAATGCATCTATATGCAGATGTGATAGATACATTTGGGCAGGAAAGTGGGCAGGAAACAACAGCAAAGGGAGGAGGGGTAGAGGTCTGGAGGGTGAGTGTGAGCTGGTGACAACATGATGAGAGTGGACCTCCTAACCTTTCCTTCACTGGAGGACAGGTGTCTACCTTTCTCTGCATCCCTGCCCTGATTCCTTGCCCTGCATGGGTGTACTACCACTCCATCTGATGCCTTGCCCAGGGTTTTACTCTAATAATGGAGAGTGTGGACCTCAATCCAGTTATTGAAGAACAATCAGATGTAAATGAGAAGAGGGGGAATCCCCACCTGGGGGAGCAGATGCTCCTTCTCCTTTCAGGAGAGAGTAGCTCACAATGCAGGACAGCCAATGGGTTCTCTCTACAGGGCCTTGAATCCCTACTGGAGGCCACAAGGACTTGGAGACCTAGGATCCATTTCCAACCGTCTGCCTACAGCCAAGAGAGGAGTGGGCACCTTTGAGCTCAGCTGATGATGATGTAAGACTGTTTTGCATACATACATCCTGAGCAAGCCATGGAGCTCCAGTACTCCTAGTGATGTGTTTATCATCCAAAGAAGATGAGCTCAGCAGAAGCATCTCCTGAAGTGCAGTCTGTACACCAGCTGCATAAGACTTACCTAAGGGGCTTGTGACAAATATACACCAGAGCACCCTTAGGCTAGGCCAGAACCTCTGAGGGAAGAAGCCTGGGAATATCGGTTTTTCATAATCTCCTGTTCTTAGATACACTACAGTGTGAGAATATATATTGAGTACCTGTTACATGCCAGCTACATATCTTCTAATATATAAAAGGAAGGAATGATTATCCCCATTTTTAGGTGTAGAAGCTAAGGTTTGCTGGGATTCAATAATGTGCCCAAGGTCACAAGGCTAGGAAATGGTGGTCCTAGGATTCTACAAGACCCATTCCAAAGCTGCATGTGAAGAAACAAGCAGTTTTTAATAAAGAAAAATTCAAAGGAGATGCACTGGGAATCTAAACTTTGGATCTAGCTCTTCTCTGTGAAGTCTTTCTGGTCTTTGCTACTCTGAACAATCTGTTTTATTTATTTGTTTGTTTGTTTATTTTGAGACAGACTTTCACTCTTTGTTGCCCAGGCTGGAGTGCAGTGGCATGATCTCTGCCTCCCAGGTTCAAGCGATCCTCCTGCCTCAGCCTCCCAAGTAGATGGGATAATAAGCGCAGGCCACCAAGCCCGGCTAATTTTTTTGTATTTTTAGTGGAGATAGGTACACGGTTTCACTATGTTGATCAGGCTGGTCTCCAACTTATGACCTCAGGTGATTCGCCCACCTCGGCCTCCAAAATTGCTCAGAGTACAGGCATGAGCCACTGCGCCCATACTGAACAATCTAATTTTAATTGGACTGTCACATATCTCAAAGAAGGGCAGCAACTTCCATGTATAAATAGTTCTTGTTTGGTGGATGGCGGTTAAAATGGCATGCCTTTCTCCAGTTGAACTTGTAAGTGTGCTGTGGAGTAAAAGACTATGGGCTACACCAGTCCAATAATGTAGCATCTTGACATGAACTTCTATTTTCAGAAAATAGAGACTAAGGGGAGGCTATTTCCAGAGTGGATAAGAAGGGAGTAATATTTTTTAAATGTTTCCTAATATTAAAACCTCCTCATATTGGGAATAATTTCAGAATATCTGTTTCATAGACGTTGTCTAAGAAGTAGTGGGTAGCCATGAGTTAAGACACTATTTCCGGATTTGCCCTCCTCCATGAATGTGTCGATTTCAGCGCTCAGCCAGCTCCTGTGCGCAGCTTGGGCTGGGTTTCCTGAGGAATGCAAATGTGAGGAAGACCCACTTTGTTCTCAGGCAGTTCACAGTGAAATGAAGCAGAAAGAGAGAAGCCCAGAATGAAAATCATATAACCCATAATGTAGCAAAAGAGAAGTACGAATGACTACAGCAGTCGGGGAAGGAAACCGCCCACAGCCTTAGCGGGCAGCGTTCCTATCCCTGAGGCCTGCGGGCCCCCGGGTGCTGGCACTCTGGAGAAAACCTGCAGGCCCGGGCCT